TCGGTTGTGCAGAAGCACTTGGTCGGAGACGCACACACACGCAAAATTGGACTAGCGAGTATGATTACCGCATTCTTCGTCTCCCCTCTTCCAGCTGACCCGGCCCAGTGTCGCTTTGATACACATTCTCTGAGCTTTCCCATCCGCTTTGGCTGGCCTTCGGCCTCTGCCAACATGGGGGTGCCCTCCTGGCTGACTAGTGTCTTCTGTATGGGGCCATGTGCGGGCTTGACCTGTTACGGTGGCCGCGGCCGTCGAACTGTAGAACCTACTACCGGAAGCCTCGAGCAACAGCCCCACCGGGTGGAGGTTGATTGTGCCTCGGGCTGCTCTGGCGGTCATCTATTCGCAGGATTGGTTGTCACGAGATTCGCCAGTTGGTACCTCGGCGTCGTGAGTTTCCCTCGTCAGACGAAGAGGAGCCAGAACAGACCTGCTAGCAACTCGTCCGGTGCCGTCAGTAGCCTTCTCTCGAGTAGAACAGTGCTCGAGATTGCCAATACTTGGCTGCTTAAGGCGATGCAGGGTCTAGTAGAAGTGGTTTTACATTGTTCTCACAAGTTGGTCATGTCATTAGAGCTAACTTAGTTTGCTATTTTGATAGATTTTTGCTATGAAAATATCTATCACACAACAGACCTACACTTAGCTCTGGAGCATCGAAGTCGCTGAGGCCTAATCAGCACAATGTCACAGACTTCTTTATCTCTGCCTCCGATGAGATAAATGAACAAATTCCTTTCAGCAAACTTTTTGTTCGAAATGGAAAGACGAATCATGCAATTGAGGATGCTGAGGATAATGATTAGACCAAGACAGAGTCGAAGGTGAGGTTGACTCTGTACATAAAACCCCTTTTTGTATCTATGGCACATAGTAATAGTTGCAAAAAGAGGTATTATAATATATTTATCTTGAGCATACCAATAATCAATGGCTAAGACGGCATCCAACAAATTGTTTTCTCTCATTCTTTATACAAATTTGTCCTTAACAATACACAAGACAGAAACTAGAGCGAATGTATGTAAGTGGTTTACTTTTGTTTTAGCAATTTGGTCGTGTTGCTAAAGTGACCAAATTGGATTCACTTTGCCAGAGTCCTCTGCCATAATAGTTATGATA